GCCTGGGACAGGAGGCTGCTGCATCCCTTCCCGGGCTCTATTTGGTTTATGCTACAGTACTAATACTCTGAGTCAAACGAAAAAGAAAATGAAACATGAGACTTATCAGTAACACCTCAGCATTATTTAAATGTGCTAAATTAGTCACAGCTCAATTTCAGGGTTTTTTTTACCTTTTTTTTTTGTTGTTTTCTATAAGTTTACACAAAAATAATCAGAAAACAGATTAAATCTTAAAGATATTTTTAATAAGTGCTCAGTAAAGAATTGTGTGAGGACTTGGGGAGGACAGCGACAGGGCGAGTTCACGACAGCACGAGGAAGTTTCTCCCACAGCCCTGCCTGGCTCTAGGCAATGGTCTATCCCAGAAATAACACCCGTGCCAGCGAGCCGGAGCCGCAGGAGCTCAGAGAGAGGATTTCCTGCGCTGCTTAGCGTTGAGCACGCGCCGTGGAGCTCACGGAGACAGACAGATAGACAGACAGACGTCTGAGGAGAGGATGGTCACAAACACAGCAGAGAAGCTGCGGAGGGCGATTCCGGGTGGGTCCCACGTGCCGCGAGGCAAAGGAGCCGGGACCCACATTGGGGCTAAACCCAACCCAAGCCATCACCTGAACCGCGTCTGTTTTCTTTCAGCGCTTCTTTTCGCTGTCGAGAAGAGACTGGACTGGGCCAAAGACGAGCGTCGTCAGCTACCGAGCGAGGCTCGCGTCTTTCTAAAGGCGCAGGGTCAGCTCCAGCACAGGTTATTGCTGCTCAGCTTCTGCATCGTGCCAGCCCCGAGAGCGGAGCGAGGGCACCGGGACTGCGCAGACCCCAGGTAAGCAAAACAGGGTTTGTTTTTGTCTTTTTTTTTGGTCTTTTTTTTTTTTTTCTCCTTTTTTTTCTTTTTTTTTTTAAATGGAACCCAGCCCTTAAGGCGACAAGTGACTACACAAGGCAAATAAATACACAGCAGAGCCTTAAAGCCAGTAAAACAAACTGGAAACTTTGCTATTAGCCTTCAACGCTTTGAAAATAGTAATAACGATAATTAAAAAAAAAAGAAAATATTTCCTTCCACCTTAATTTTCCTTGTCCCACCATCCAGTTTGTTCAACACTTTAAAGCTCAGGAACGCCCCGGCTCTTCCGCAGCGGAGCCGGAGGCGATTCCGACTTTTGGCAAGCAGTTGGGAGACTCGACAGAATTAAGAATTAGGAACGTCGGAGGACTAGATGTCGGGCGCATCTGTAAACATGTCGTACATCTGAAAGTCACACCCGCCCGTCCCGGCGGGACAGTTTATGTCGGTGAAACAGAACGATTTGCGACTGGCCAACCACACAGTTCTGAGTACGTGAGTACTATATAGTATTACGCTACAGTATTATACCATATAGTATTTTATACATAAAAATGGAGTAGGCAATCCATCAACTTTTGAAACCAAGCGTGGCGGAAAGCTAGCCAGCTTACCAAAGGTACAGAATTAAGTTTCCTTGTCCCACCGTGAACGCAAGCGGCTCATTCCGGAACAATCTCATTAAAAGAACAAAAACCAAAAATCGTGTGCTATGTGCTCCTAGTTAACAACAACAAAAAAGCGGATAAATCTAAGAGCACAAGGGGTGAAGTTTTGGGCTTATCTGCCCCACAGGGTCCAGTCCAACATGAGGAGACCCCAGGTGCCACGAGCCAGGATTTGGCCACCAAACCCCCCTGGTGAGCACCTGGATACCCGCAGGGCTTGGGCAGGTTCAAAAACCCATTTTCACTTCATTCACTGCTTGCTCTTGCCCCTGGACCCTGGGAACTTCCCACCTTTTAAAATAAATAAAAAATAAAATAATAAAATAAACCCTCAAAACACAAAAACTACCCAACCCCAAGATGATTTGGATGCGCTGGACGAGCTGCGACGGGACAGAGCGGGTCACAGCGCTGGGGCCTGCGGGCTGCTCAGCCTTCCCTACCCCTGCCAGGGAGCTTTCCTTTCCTTGGGATATACATTTTTTACTTTTTATATTTTTTTAAAATTTTTTAAATTATTATTTTCATTCCTAAGTCCTCCATTTTTCATAATAAAATATATTTTTATTAAGAGATAATTAGAAGCAGAGCCCAGAAATACACAGACTGCATTAAAATATAAAAGAGCATTTCCACCGGGCAGGTGCGGGAAGCCCAGCCGTTGGTGGTTTATGGACAAATTGAAAAGGATTCAACTTCTCTCCTCCCCTTTTTTTTTT